TAAAGTTAGTTTTGTTTAGGTTTTCTCCTGTAGTAACACTGGATCAATAAGAGATGACTTTACTGGACCTCTAGCGAGAACAGTTTAGTACTGATAGAGCTATCCAGTATAAATAAAGTTAGTTTAGTTTAGGTTTCCTCCTGTACACTATAGTAACACTGGATCAATAAGAGATGATCCTTACCAGTGCCATAGCCAGAATGATAATTGGAGGGGGGGGGGGGGGGGGGGGGGGGGGGGGGGGCACAAAGTATATATTCGTGTTCACATACCATAAAAACAATTGATTTCAAAAGAAATTAATAAAGCAGAACACGAATATATGAATATGTGCCTCCCCCCCCCAAATTATCGTTCTGGCTACGGCACTGACTCTTACTGACTCTGGGGAGAACGGTTTAGAACTGATAGAGGTATCCGGATCCAGTATAAATAAAGTTAGTTCAGTTTAGGTTTCCTCAAATTTACTTTTAATTGCTTTAAAAAAGACTGCAGTATATCAACAATATAAATCTGACAATTTCATTTGTCAAGTTGTGAAATTTATCCCACTAATCTAAAACAAATAATTCACTCTTTGAGTGGGAGGCACTTGCAAAGGACAGTGAATGTAATTTTGAAATGTTTTCAAAGTTAGAGGCGTGGATATAAAAAGGGTAGCGCCTGTCCAGTTCGACCACAATTTTATTTACGGCCGTTTGAAGTCAGTCAAGTTAAAGCAGTTGGTGAAAAATCAGAAAAAGGTAAAGATATAATTTTTGATACCGAGTCCAAAATCATTGAACTGGAAAAATCTGAAACGCTCGAATAGAACTCGCCTTAACATTAATGCGTTCACATACACTAGGCCGACAAAGAAAAGCACAATTAGCCGTCGGGTGAAATTGGGTTTACACCATGCACGCCAGAGCGAAATTGTTTGAAAACGTCACTTTTGCCGAAACACTTTGAGCACGGTTTCTAAACGGAACGAGATGAAAACGGAGCGCTTCGCGGCTTCGTGTCAACAAACGCCGTTACTTTTTTGTGCCGCTTGCAAACCTATATAGCATCTCAGGTCTCGAAACAATAAATTCGAATGCTTTTCGTTGAAATTTCTTTGCTTCATTCCAAATATTTTGGGTTTACGCGAGTGCTAATTCAAATTGTAAACAAACTGTAAAGGCCTGATTCCACGAGCGCTTTTTCTCGGCGAAATGCGAAATATTTCGCACGAAATGAAATCAGCAGTAAAGATAAATTAGGCTTCGCGAGAAAAAATTTCGCTTCGCCAGCGAGTAGAAGTGCGTTCTACTCACTGCGAAAACGAAAAGAGTCAAATTCAATAGAATAACTCGATCGTGTGCAGCCATCCATCGTATTTCGGCATTTCACACACACGATTTCGTGCGAAGAATTTCGACGTCGTGGAATCACGCCTTTATGGCGTAGTGTATGAAGAACACGCGTAAATTCTGCAGGCTTTATTTCGCTCCGACGTGGTGTGAACGAAGTCTAATCAGAATCACTTTCCATTTTTTTGTTTTAGAAAATGCGTTTCATATTGGTGTGTGGTTTGTTGTGCGTGTTGATGTTTTCCCGGGGACAGTGTGACGAAATCCAGACAGATTTGGTGAACGACGTGTTCGAGGATGTATTTGCGGCCGGGGAAGAGCTACCGGAGAAAAGAGCGCTGCCAAAACGCAAGGCGGGCCCGGGAAATTGCGGATACGGATTCTGGTGCGTGGAAAAGTAAAACTTTCTGAAAGCTCTTGGCGAAAAATGAAGTTTGAAAAATGATTTAATATTTGTAGATATACATTCAATATGAAATAAAATCAATTAAATGCAATAATTGTTCCTTGTTTTTGTTTGTTTTCGCTTCAGCGAACTGGCTGAAATTCTACAATTAATACTGAATTACAGCTGGGTTTTCAAAATAAGCCGGCCGAGGTTTACCGCTGGTTACTTTGTTTCGTACTTGAAACATCAAAATGTCAGCGGTCAATGACCGGCCAAATTTTTAATATGACCGGTCAAATTTGTATGACGCCGGTCATAGTGACCCACCACAGTTTGGCTCTGGGAACGAGATTGATTTTTGTGCTGTTGTGAACCCGTTAAATATTATGTAAGGATATTCTTCGTATTAAACTTTTCATTCGAATTTAAGTTGTTGAATTTCTCATGCCCACTGCTGGTCAGATAACTTATATTAGTATAAACCTACTAGTGGGCTATCATGTGGTTTGATTGGCTACGCTACTAGTATGACTTAGATTCTTGCACTTCACTTGGTGGAATTAATATTAGAATGTTAGGGTTTGGAATCCAAGTGAGAATAATACCTCTGTAGCTCTGTTGGTTAGAGCGCTGCACCGGAATCGCAGGGCCGTAGGTTCAATTCCTACCAGAGGACCTTGTGCTGCATTTTTCGCAGTCGTTCCTGGTTAGGTCTTAAAATGTATATATATTCTCACTTGGATTCCAAACCCTAACATTCTAATACGCTACTAGTAGGCTATAAAGCCTGATTCTCATATGTCGCCGACGTCGGCGATGCCCATTGTCGTTGATCATTGATGAGTGAAATCTTTTCTATATGTTGTTCTTCACTGATCTCAAACAATGGCATCGCCGACGTCGACGACATATGAGAATCAGGCTTTAGTAATAGCAGTACAGCAACAAGCGGCAAAGGGGCGTGAGAGTCAATGGTAGATTTTAAGTATTTTAAAAAAGCTGCATTCAAAGGGGAAAAATCTTATCAAAATGACCTAATTTTGGTTCTGGATTACATGCAAACAAAGACTCTTGGAAACTGCAACAATGACTCTTGGAAACATGGCTATACGGTAGAATTTTTGCTCGTAGTTTTGAACATGAAAGTGACAGGCGACGTTTTAAATATATGGTTTATACTAAAACAATTTGACAACTCAGCCTCGTTGTCTCTGAGCGAATGGTTCGCCTCGTTGACTATTCGCTCAGAGACAACGAGGCTGAGTTGTCTAATTGTTAAATAAACCAAATCAAGATTGTTATAATTATACGGCGTGCATCTTGGCACCAACACAATCGACAGTCACAATTGAAGTTGAGAGTACCGCGAGCTGAAATTTGATCGTAGCTTAATACATCGAGTGGGCAATGCGTTGGGAGTTGACCGGTCAGAAATCGCATTTGACCAGTCACCATGACCGGCGTAACATGAAACGTTATTTTGAGCTCTGTAGTGACACACTATAAGGGACTGGTCATAAAGTAACTACTAGGGTGGGCTGGAGGTAAATCACAAATTTTGCCAATAAGTTTGGTGACCCATCTTAGGATGTAGATAAAATTACGATATAGAGCTGCTCTCCAGTTGGTTGTATTCGCTGTGATTCGACCACTTCTTGTCGTTGTATAAAATAAAATACTGGCTTCAATAGCATCATTTGCATTTGATAATTTGGATAGTTTTGTTCACTTATATTATTAATATCTTCTGTAATATATAATTATTAACATGTGTTTTTGTTTGGTGGCCCAACCGTGGATATACCAAAAAATTGGCGGCCCATCGAAACTGCCCATCCCAAATTACTCCAGCCCACCCTAGCAGTTACTTTATGACCGGTCCCTAATTTGGTTTCTATCTAATCAATATACACTGATATACTTGATACATATGTATTTGGATGACTCCCTACACCGCCCCCCCCCCCCCCCCCCCCCCCCCCCCTGCCACCTGCTCAGAATAATTCTGAAAGGCTTGGAATTAAAGTGAATTTCTAGTTCTAAACTTCAAGTGCCTGAAAAGATAAGCAAGATAAAAATCTGGTTAAAATTTATTCTTATGTATATTGCCTACACCCCTGCTACAATATATTATTCGTGCTTGTTACAGTAATTTTATCAATATATTTCTATTTTGAAATTCCAAATGGCCTAACCGTTCAGATGTTCTTAGTTTTTCGCTGCATCTTCTTTGAGCGGGATTGTGCGATTGAAAATTATCTATATCAAATTAGGATAAGCGTTTAGAATTGATAGCAAGAGCTATCCTCTGCAAATAAAGTTAGTTTAGGTTCCAATAAGAGATGATCCTTACTGGACCTCTAGAAAGAACAGTTTAGAACTGATAGAGCTATCCAGTATAAATAAAGTTAGTTTAGTTTAGGTTTCCTCCTGTAGCAACACTGGATCAATAGGAGATGATTCTTACTGGACCTATAGGAAGAACAATTTAGAACTGATAGAGCTATCCAGTATAAATAAATAAATAAAATTAGTTTAGTTTAGGTTTCCTCCTGTAGTGACACTGGATCAATAAGAGATGATCCTTACTGGACCTCTAGGGAGAACAGTTTAGAACTGATAGAGCTATCCAGTATAAATAAAATAAATAAATAAATAAATAAAATTAGTTTAGTTTAGGTTTCCTCCTGTAGTGACACTGGATCAATAAGAGATGATCCTTACTGGACCTCTAGGGAGAACAGTTTAGAACTGATAGAGCTATCCAGTATAAATAAAGTTAGTTTAGTTTAGGTTTCCTC